CAGTCTGGAGAGATTTCTGTCTTGAGGTGGAAGCTAATAAACACAACAGAACTGTATTGCATTGTCTCGTGGAGTTCTTTGGGCTAAACCTGACACTTCCCCCTTCATCATGAGTATAAACAATTTTAGTAACTTATCACCTTCTCTTAAAATACAACAAATAATCTCTTCTTCTCCTCATATCTCATCGTTATCTATAAAAAAATCCTTAAAGCCTCATTGTTCAGTCCTGGTCAGTAAAAGTCCATTAAGGGTTACCAGAGATAACATATCCATTTTGACCCTGAATAAACCCACTTTATATTCCTTCCTTTTACTTTTAACAATCTTGATCTTTAATCCCTTCAAATAATGTCCTAGAACTTGATTTCTTTTCATTTTTTCTTTGTCTCTTCTCATAAAATCCTTCAAAACTTTAACGGGTTGGTTTTGTAAATCCAGTATAGAAAAATTATCCAGGTCACTCTTTCGGTTTGTTATTTGTATATCCCTTTTAATGATTAACACATCAGTCAGTTTCATTTGTATATCCAATGTAGCATCTTCTGTATCATTCTTATAGCCTGTCATCCTTAAAACAATTTTCAAATCATTCACTCTTGTCCAGTAAAACATGTTCCTCTTCTATATCATTTTTTAAACACAATCTATAATGGCAGACACTCTTAAAATTATCTTCAGGGTCCACTGTTCACAAATATCCTTCAGTATGACCAATGTATTTTGCTCCTTTCTGTATTAGTAAGTCAAATTTCAGTGTTCTTCTCCTTTAATTGTAATCTTTAGTTCCTTCTGGTTCCCTCTAGTGTCCAACCTTCAAAGTCCCATCGTACCTTTTTTTTTTTTTAATAATGCAAAACAACAGTATTTTCCCACAGGAAAGATTCTTATAATTAATTTCAAAATCTTATTTCAAATCCATCTGGACCCTTAGTCCATTAATAACTTTTCAAAATCAACATTCTAATCACTCTTTTGCTGTTTATTCCAAAAAAAAATTTTTTTTTTACGTCCTTAAACTTGTATCTAAAACTTCTTTTGCTAAGGATTACAGGAAATTCACCTGGTGTTAAAAAAAACTTGTTGCTCCAAAGGTTCTTATTAGTTGAAAAGCAGTTAATAACAATGTCTCAAAGTGATTAAAAAATGAAGCTCAGTGTCCATATATGCCACATTACGGCTGTGAGCTTGATTGAAATCCCTCAACTTCCAGCCACTTGATATACAAGTCGACCACAAAAACCTGAGTTCCTGTAGTCTACTCATGAGGAGCAGCTGTCTGGAGTACAAGTGGAGAACTTACAATCTTCTTTTTCAGGAGACACTTCACCAGCCAGAATTTACCAACTAGCTGCAGATCTCCACCACAATACCATCCCTGCTAATTTTTCATTTTAGATTATATTTCATACTGTGCTGATTTTAATAATGATTTGTAGTTTTAAAATGGGACAAGTTATTTAAGCATTATTCGAGAACTTAATTTTCTTAATCTTATAATGCTTGTAAATCTCTTGGTTATTTACTCTGTGCTATTTTTTTGTATTTCTTCTTATTCTGTTTTTTTTTTTAATGCAATAAAATATTTTTAAAAACGCAGCAGCCAGTCTCTGGTAGGACAACCCTACTAGTGTAGAATTACTCTTATATTAAAGGTTTTCCATTGATTGCCAGTAGGTGTCTGGCCCCAATTCAAAATGAAGGTTACCACTTTTAGAGTTCTTAATAGTGCAGCACTAGGATGTATCGCACAATACCTTACCACAGCCAAATCTGCTTGTATGATCCAGTCATCTAGAAAAGGCCTACTCCTTGTGAGGTACATGGAGGGTGGCCCCCATAAGGTGGAATACTCTTCCTCCAAAAGTAATACAGCCCTCACTTTCCTGATATTTCAGGGGGGAAAAACCCTAAAACAATTTTATTCCCATAAGATTTTGAGCCCAGCTGACTGCTTAAGGGGAGCTATACTGAATTTATCTCTGGTTCCGGATGACGTTTTTATTTTTATTTATTTATCTGCCTTGTATGCAGCAGACACTGCCCAGAGTCCTCCAGGATTGGTACAGGCTATAAATAGTTTAATAAATATTTTAGAGCACAGTCTTGGGACAGCCAAAGTTTACATTTCTGGGAGCTTATCCTTACCCAAACAATAAAGAAAGCCATGCATGAAACCGAGTGTCGTAGCAACCCGCCGGTTTAAAACTAGCAACAAGCAGAAACTTCAGAGATGAAGTTCTCCCCAGGCGAATCAAGATTAAGACGGCACTCCTTCACCCACCCACCCACCCACCCACCGAGCCGGTAAGCCCTTGTTTAACACAGTCCCACGAAAAGTGGACAAGCTGGCGGCGCCCGTCGGTGAAGGGAGACCTTTTCACAGGGACCGGGAGGAAGGAAGCAAGAGCGGCGGGC